CACTGGCTTCTCATCAGCTCAGCTCCTTACAGGCCAAAGTCAGTATTAAGTATATCTACAGAAACAATTTCAACATACTTGCACAGAGTTCATTTTAAACAGAAATCAATCAATCATTATATGCATACAGTAATTATATATATATATATAAACTATTCGGAACAATAATGATCATACACAATGGAAACTTTCGATATTATACGTATTCAGATGAAAGAGAGATGAAAATATCCAGTTACCAGGCAGGTCAAAGAAAGACTGACAACTGCTTCTTTCTGAGCACACGCATAAATCAGGTTTCAGGCGCTTGATGGAGATCGTTTTGGCAAACTTGAGGAGAATTGAGCCCTTTTGCCTTTTGACAATTTTGAACGATCTTTCGACGTCCATCTCATGACCCATGTCTAGGAAATGCCTAGCGATTGCACTGTTTAAAGCATTTGTTCCCTGCTGGAGACGTTGGCCTTTTTGGTAAATGCTCAGAAAATCGTAGATATGCCCTCCTTCTTTCTGTTCCTCCGATGTAACTGCTCCCGCAGATACATGTAAATTTGTATACACATTTAGAGTTAACATGAGAAGGATTTCTATCGAATTTTGATTGCACCAAAGAGGAAGTTGTTCGATAGACGAGGACAAGTTCAGCTAGCTGCAGCATGATAGGCTCTGGCTAGTGACGTTCTCAATCTTCTGTTGACAATTGCTGTAATATTTTCACCTTTATTATCAAGTTGAATGTAGATTGACTTTTTCTGCACTGTGATTTGCTTGAGGTAAATGACCCTGAAAGCATGGTTGACGTCAATCTTGTGTTCTGTCTCCACAAGGTGAGACAGAATAGCGCTACGAATGGATTTTGTTTGAGCTTTGCTTAACCACGCAGGGTGATGTTCGGAAATTCAACGAGAAACACGCCTTACCTAATTGTATGGCCTATGCAATTAACTGGCTCATTCCACAGGAGCAGTTGAATTGATCGATAAACATGGAAGAGGTGAAATCAGGCAGTTTGTCTTTTACTCCCGAACGCAGAAGAGAAGTGGTTTCATAGATACAATGTAATTCAGAAGCAGGCAATGCTCGTTTTACCACGTTTCTAATGCGCTGTGTTAGTATCTCGCTAGTGTTGTCCCCAAGGAACTGCATCTGTAAGAATAAGGCCTTTTTTGGAACTGCCGGTAGATTCGGCTGCTTTGGTTTCGAATTCATATTCTTATCAATAAGCTTTTCAGGATAACCATTCTCACTTGGCAACCGTTTGATATTATTCAGTTCTTCATCAAGACATTCGTCCGAGCAAATCGCTCTTGCTCTGTGAACCAGGCACTTTATCAAATTGCGTTTGTATTTCAAGGGCACAAAACTGAGAAAATGTGTGTACTGGCCCGTTGATGTAGGTTTTCTTTAAACATTTCTTATTGTGCCATTCTCTTTTCTGGTCATAAAGACGTCTAAAAATGGAATACTAGCGTCTTTCTCTTTCCCAATAGTAAAATTTATCGCAAGATGTACCTCAATAAATTTATCCAGGATGCTCTTTGCTTCCTTCTCGTTTTTCATCATCAAAAAAGTATCATCCATGTACTGTATTTCACCGGTCAGTACTTTTTCCAGAAAAATGTAGCATGCGAAATATTGCTACTTTTAAATTTGCAAGTAGCGTGTGTAGTAAAGTGAAAAATGCGTCGTTGGCAGCAGCACGTTATACTTTGGACATTAAAATACCAGCATTGGCGAAATCCACATTTGTAGTCTTACTAAACTACTTCAGCAACATTTTTACTGAGCAATAGAGTATTTTTAATCGACAGTAAAGGTTAGTATTCTCAAGTAGATTCTTAGGTGAAAATAATTTCTTGAAGATAAGGTGTACATAATTTGGCTATATAGAGATACAAATATCCAAATTAAAACATTCCTTAACCAAGTTTTTCGCCTTCTATGGTTAAATGCTGTCTTTGCTGGTTGATTTAACTGCTAAGCTTTCCGTCGTCCTTCATCTTTAGCGTAAGTCTTAGCATAAAACAAACTGATTTAAATCCTTCATGAATGAAGATGTAATTGTATCTCCTGGCTACCACTGTCCTCACTGGTTGTTGTTAATTTACATCACTATTGATCATTTTTATTGACTCAGAATTTGAAATTTCTGATCACATGACTTACTTTTTATTAGTTGGTATATTTGGTCTATGTGTTAACGTGTTTGTTATTTGCATATTCATTTGAGTACCAGGCTTGGCTTCTAGGAATTCCCTGGGAATTTTGATGTTTCCCCTGTTTAAAAAATCGATATTATCCCAGTCATCAAACTGATGCCCATAATTATCTATATGCATTGATATGAAAGAATATGGATATCAAGTTTTTCATGGCTGATTTGTATTCCTGGATTCTGATTCGAAGGGGACGCCCACTTTGTAAATGGTATTAATTTTATCTTTTTTTCTGTTGGATCTTTCGGTTCGTACAATACCGAACGAAATGATTGTGCCGGCCGGACGGCCAGCTGGCTGGCTTGTGTGCTCTATCTATTTCAAACGGTTTCAATATTCTAGCTGTTATTTCAGAGATGTTTTTTATATATGGTAGGATGAATTTCCTTTTAGTCTTTGATGATGGTTTCTTGTTGGTATTAGGACTTGATTTTAAACACTTTTTGATTAAAACTGTGATGATATGCATTCTTTTTGAAGAAGGTTGTTAGTAGGTATTTTTCTTCCATTCTCCTATCGACTCTGGAGTGCTACAGTATGTTTAAACTCTCTTGTGAACAATGTTTGCACACAGTTTCTTTTGTGAGTGATTAATTGGATTATTGATAGTATGGTTGAGCATTTGATATGTGTGCGTTGATTTTCTATATATGCGTGTTTCTAAATTTCCTGTGTTAGTTCCCTTGATTGAGACATCTCTGAATGGAATTTTGTTGTCTAATTCTTCTTCTCTTGTGGTGATTTTAATGTCTTCAAATATGTTGTTAATTAATTTGTGCGTATATTCTAAATCATTCCTTTTAATGATTACAAATGTATCGTCACTATAATGTACGCAGATTTTTGGTTTAATTATGGGTAGGGCTATTAACTGTAATCTTTGCATAATGGCTTCAGCTATTAGTCCTGATATCAGGGATGCCATTGATGTTCCTTTTATCTGTTCATATATCAACAAAGACGTAAATGAACAACAGCTAGTCACGACGATGATTGCCAGGAGAGACAATTACATCATTCATGGAGAATTCAAATGATTTCATTATATGCAAAAAACCTGCAGGTGAAGAGGGATCTCGTCCAGAAGGATGACGAAAGCGCCACAATTAAATCAACCAGCGGCTCAGGGAACACAACTAAGCGAATATTATCCATCTGAGCTACAAATCTTCCCTATTATTTCAAAATGAATAGTTGCTTAGCTTTTCTTTTTATCGGAATCACACTTAGTACAAGCTATTTTTCAAATGCAAAATGGTTCTGTAGCCTATAGAGAGAGGATGGAAAATGTCTGACGTTCACTAAACTTGTTGACATTAGTCTTTCGCATCACTTTCATTAATTATGTGACGAAATAACCAAGATCAATCACCAGCATCTTGGGGAACAAAAAATAATTTGTAGTATTGATGTTTTGTGGTCAACTAATCTTGTTGAACTCATGAAATTACAAGTGCTTTATCAACTGTATATGAATTTGATCATAAACCTTATTCACGGATTGATGTTAGTTAGAGAACCATTGAAAATCAGGGAGTATTGAACAGCTGTTTCATCAGCCTAGTTTGAGAATCACCGGTAGTACGCACCCACTGCCAAGGTTCGAACCCAGGACCTTCCGGTTACAAGGCAAGCTAGCTTGTATACTATTCAGCCAAACCATAGAAAATTAATCTGATTCTCGCTGGTGACTTGCAACAGGATGGAGTTTCCTAGAGTTCCAGTGAGAAGTTGTGACCAGTAAAGTCCACCCAGATATCATGTGTCAGGATGGATGTCTCACCAACGACACTGGTTGGGGTAGTGCTAAATCACGAATTGGAAAAGTTAGAATTCATGGAGGGGCCATTGAATCGGGTTCCAGTGGTGGCTGAATGGTCTATGAGCTTTCCTTATTACCGGAAGGTCCTGGGTTCGAATCCTGGTAGTGGGTGCGTACTTCCGATGAATCCCAAACTAGGATGAAACAGCTGTCCAGTACTCCCTGGTTTTCAATGGTTTTCTAACTGATATTAATCCGTGTTCAACTCGCAAAAAGATAACTAACCATACAAATCAAACTATAGAAAATTAACCTAAATCAGTTAACAAAACATTGTATATCAGTGATTGGACAGAAATATCCTGCTACTGTTGATATGTCAGCGCTCCTAGTACGGATGCTTCGACAATGTTTGAGGATTTAGTTGAACTAATTCCGTGAAGTGAAATCCTAGATGCACATTTCCCATTATTTGGGAATTTTTAGCCAGTGGATGTAACTGCAGTGTCTACTGACGGTCGAACTCAGTATCCAACAACAACATAGGCCAAACATGTCGATCTAATCAATCAACGGAAAAATCGAAACTAAATTAAAAGTATAAAATAATGACTGGTAATCATTGCTCAAAAGGTGTATTTCGTCGCTTGGGTGATCTAACGGATAACGATGAACACTGAGTTCGAGCAGCGTCACTCAATGAGTGATTCAGGTACATCTACTAGGTGATGAGCTCCGAATGGGACGAAATGCGCATGGGAATAATATAAATTCGTTAACTAACTTGGAGTTTGATAAACCATTCACCTCTTGCATGAAATGCTTACAAGTTATAGAAGTAGTATGAGCGGGTTTTCATTCAGCTGGTGGGGAATTCACACTAGTAGAACTGAAACGTGGGCTGATGAAACCCAATCGGCATCGAAATTTTATATATATATATATAATTAGGATACGCAGATATTGATTAAACAAACTGAAAGTCATCAAATCATGCAGATAAACATTTAATATAAAATTACCATTTAAACCAGTAAATGCAGCCTGAGTAGGAACAGGTACACCTTGCCATGTATCTGCTATCAAACGTGGATAATCTGGACTACCGATCACTTTACCGAATCGACCAGAATTTTCATCCAATCGCCAATAGTATTCACCAGCAAAAATATAAATGGCTTGATTTTCTCCCCATAGAAATACACTATCTACACGCTTTAAATTGCCTGGAAGTCCAAGTTCAGTAAGCGGTAATCCTTCATTTGGAAAACCAGGTTTCATTCGCATATTGTCCAAAAGAAGCCAGAATTTATTATCTATTTAGTAATAAATACATGGGGAGAAAGAAAATCCAGTGAATATTTCTCTCATTAAACAGGGATACCAGGGACAAGTAAACTTGTCAAGTATCTATAAAATAGATTTAAAAACAGAAATTTTCAGGAGATATATACTGAACATACTCAACTAACACCTGTCCAGACGATACAAACGCTGAAGGAAGATACGTATAATAAAATCACCGATGGTAATCAGTCCAAGATACCCTATCTGTCCATAAAATCTTCGGGTATACATTGGAGTCATGCGTGGAAATATCATGTTTGTTGGATTTCCAACTTTCAAATATCTGCAAGTTGCAAGCTGTAGAAAATTTCCTCCAAGAGATTAGCAAAATCTGTGGTGAGAGCTATCTGCTAGCAGAAATTGGTAGACAGCAACTCACTTCAATGTTTACGTCACAAATCGGGATCATGAGAAAAGAACAAGAACAAAGACTACCTCAACAACCAATCACAGCAGACCTAGCGTGGGCGGATACGATTCGCAGATATGTGGTCTGACCATCAAGGAAATGGCCACAAAGAGATGACAGAATAACTATGAGAGAGTAAACAACCACTAAGAAGACGCTGTATCTCTGCTTATTATGACGAGTAATAATATACATAAAAATCTATAAATATCTCTTGATTTTCTCAATAAACGCTCTGTTGCCTAGCCCTTGTTTTCTGTCGTTACATTGTTATCAGGCAAGTCTTCGAAACATTCTAAACTATAATTAGGAATGACAGCAGGTGAGACAACCGACTAAAGTCAACACTTTTACTCATGCTCAGACAAGTGTCACACTTATTAATTACGTCTTAGATGAGAGAAATAATTATAATTGTTCATATTCTTCATCACTGTAATCCAGACTAACTCTTCTTAAACATATGCAAAAATTTTGTTAGTAAAATTTCAGCGGGGTTGAAATCAGTAAGTAATTCCAACGTTTCCTCAGTTCGAGAGAGAAATTATAAAAGGATATTTAAAATGTGAAGATAAGGATGAATCAAAACCTGTTACTAAGTTCCGCCAAGAAACTTCGGATGAAGAAAGGCGAATTCTTAACAATCACTCTAATAACAGAAGACAAGAGTCAGATAACAGATCATTTATTGAAGAAATCAAGAAATATTTATAGATTTTTATGTACATTATTACTCGTCATAATAAGCAGAGATACAGCGTCTTCTGATTGGTTGTTTTCTCGCTCATAGTTATTCTGTCATCTCTTTGTGGCCATTTCCTTGAAGGTCAGACCACATATCTGCGAATCGTATCCGCCCACGTTAGGTCTGCTGTGATTGGTTGTTGAGTTAGTCTTTGTTTTTGTTCTTTTCTCATGACCAAGATTTGGGAAGTAAAAATTGATGTGAGTTGTTGTCTACTAATTTTGACTAGTAGACAGCTGTCAACACATAATGGCATAAGAGTGTATTTTCGTGCAACTAACACCTTACGCTAATCATTGGTGAAGGTTAAGGATAAAATACAAGAAGACAATCAACAGAATTGTGTGTACCAGATCATTTGTGGGTATTGTGAAGCCTTATATGTGGGAGAAACTTTCAGACAGGAAAAGGTAAGAGTGAAAGAGCATAAACAATATGTCTAAAGGTGGTTCCAAAGACCTCTGCAGACTTAAAGAAGCTAAAAAGAAGATCAACGACACAACATCGACTTTTGATGGGATCGAGGTTCTACAGAAAGGTTTTGGTTCGTATAAAGAAAGAATGACCGGTTTCGGAAGCCCTACATATATGGGTGAATTTCAAAAGTATGAGCAGACGTGATAGTGTGGTGTTCGCTGATGCATGGCAAGTCCTGATTAATAAATAAAAATGGATATGTATCACTAACCTATCATACTTGATCTAAATTCCCGATTGTCTATATCTTCTTATGAAGAGGCTAACAAGTGATTTACACTTGTTTTCCCATACACACATGCATACACGCACACCATTGTATGCTGTATACGAATTTCCTTGTCTTAATAAGAGTTGTGTGTGACTTGATATGATTATGAGCAGTAATAATTTGTGTTCGAAACATCATCATTTAATATTACTGTACAACACTGTGTGGTTTATCAAAATAAAATCTTATCTTGAATGGAGTTATACTCTACCACCACAGTCCCCAAGTTTTATGCTAACACTATAATAGGAGTCATTCATATGAACTGTGATCAAGATTTGACCAAATAGCTCCAAAATAATTAGGCACCGAGTGAGAAGTAGACATCTGTAAAATCCCAGAGACATCGAAATGAGTAATTCCAACATTTCGTTCCGCAAACTGTTCCAATTTTATTCAGCGAAAATTAATCGAAATTAACTTAACAGAGGTCTGTCAACCAAAACGTTAGAATTACTTATTTCAGTTTCTCTGAGATTTTACAAATGTCTACTTCTCACTTGGCGCCCAAGTATTTTCGAAATATTTTGTCAAACCTTGACTACAGTTCGTATGAAGTGCTTATGTTTGCATCAAATTTTTAGTGATTATGTTCGACTAATGTCCATCGTTGTAGATAACTAAATATGAAATTATATATATATATATATATAAATTATTACTGCTCATAATCATATCAAGTCACACACAACTCTTATTAAGACAAGGAAATTCGTATACGAACCTACGGTGACAAGCACAAGAAGTTGTATTTTTCGGATTTCAAGTTGAACACAGATTCGGATTTCGTTAAAAACCAACGTCAGCTAGAGAACCACTGAAAATGAAAGAGTGGTGGAAGTTGTTTTGTTCCACTCTGATACTCTTCAGCGCTGTGCACTCATGAATTAATCCACAAGGAATAAAACTCAAAAGCTTTTAGGTTACGAGGCTACCCTGTTGGTTATTCAGCTACTGGAGTTATAAAATCCAATGGTTTCTGGACTATAGCTTCTGACAGCTGGCAACATCCAATTACCGTCCGAAAATTCCGCAGATGGACATCCGCTTCACATTGACATGATTGACTTTACAGGCCACAAGGTGTCATCACAACTGCAGGACATTCATCCTGTTGCTACTGTGGTGAGAGCTGCCTGCAAGCCAAAATTGGTCAGAAGAGAAAACAAGAACAAGGCTTAACCTTGAGGAACTCAACAACCAATCACAGCAGGCTTTGCGTGGGCGGACACAATTCGCACATATATCACTGGACTGTCTAACAAACGGCAACAACGAGATGACAGAATAACCTTCAGCAAGAAAATAACCAATCAGAAGAGGCTACTTCTCTCCTAACAATAACGAATAATAATAATGTACATGAAACTCCATAAATATCTGTTGATTTTCTCAGTAAACGCTCTATTACCTGGCTCTTGTCTTTTGTTATTACACTCCTAATGAGCTGAAAGTCGATGTTTAGATTTTGGAAACTGTATACTTACACGGTGAATCCGTCTGCATAGCTCTTTTGAGGCAGTGTTTGATTGGATTGTAGTCCCATAGCGAATCTAGTTCTCAACTCATTTATCACCCTATTATAATAGAATTGATTATCTAACCAAAATCGCTTCAGGTTGTCAGATTAAAGGATGAAAATAGGTTTGGTCACCAGCTGATATCAGAGAGAGATCCACTGAAAGACCTGGAAGTACTGGAGAACTGCATCGTGGGACTCTTTATCAGTATGCACCCGCTGGAGGTTCAAATCCAGGATCTCTCAGTCAGTCACAAGGCGACTTGGTAAACCGCTGAGCCAGAGGGACCCGAATCAGTGACCAGCCCATGAATTCCAACTTTTGACATTAATTCAATCGCCAGCCATCGTCATCAGTAAGTAACTGCTCCCTTACCTGGTTTCGTGGATCCTGTGTGTGTGTGTGTACAACTGAAGGTTCCCAAACTAGGACGAAGCAGTTATCAAGTACTCCCAGATTTACCATTTTTTCCTCAAACTGATGTCAACTTGTCATCAGTCCTGCAAACAATCAAATCCTTGCTAACCAACACACTTGATAGGACACGGAAAACTTATTCACTTGACAAAAACCGCTTAATAGATGGTTGGAGTTAATCGGCAGGAAGCCTCGGACCTAGTTTCTGTTGCTAGTTAGCACTCATCAGAAAGGCGTGTTTGCAACCTTGAAGGAACAATTCCTGTCCCTCGCGAGGAGATTCAAACCTGCATCACCCAGTGCTGCAGTCAGAGACGTTACCACTTGTAGGACTGTATTGGATATTTTTGATTGGACACAAGTCAGTAACTAGTGTAATGTGTCTAGTCGCACCTTCGGTGCAGACTTAATTCTATCAGTCAAGTTTGCAATGTAGCTATCATGCACCGAAGATAGGACTAGACACATTACACTAGTTACTGACTAGTGTCCAATTAAAAACAAACCACTTAACCAACTAACTGTAGAGTTGAAACGATCACACTCACTTAGTAAAACACTTTCATCTTTATGCAAAATAGTAAATTAAAATTACCTCTAAAAATATAAATAGCTGCATCATGCCGTTCAATACCAGCATCAATATAGTCAACATATTTAGGTAGTGCAGGCCAATAATAAGTGATTTTTGCTGGTCCATCTCGAAATTGATAAGCAATCCATGTTGTAACAGTTTTAGACCAAGTCACTCTCCATTGCCACTATGAGAATAAAAAAGAAAACAGAGATAGGAATATACTACTATTAGTCACTGAACACGTAACTGCTGAGTACAGGTTATAGTAAATTCCTTAATAATAATTACGAATGTATGCAACACACGGATCAGATCTGTTATGGGTAAAGTTAAACTTGAAGCACCATTAACTACCAATCACAGCAAATGACCTCGAACGCACCAATCACGTGAAGGAGGCACTTTTGTGTATGGAATATATTTATTTATGAAAAAATGCATGAAAGCTGCATAAAACTGTATAAACAGCGGATACGTTCCTCTCACCTGTGATAAAAGTAGCTCTCAGTTTTAGGTTAGAGTATCAACAGAGTATAATTCAATTGATGGATGGTGACCACCAATTAAATACTAATTAAATGTCCAGACATCGTAGAAGCATCTGCACAAGAAGCCGATAGACATGTCAACCTGAGACCGAGCACTTCGGTCCAGTCAATCGACGGGAAAATCAAATATTCAATTAGAGTATAATTCAGATGTGGGTAAGATTTATTTTGATAAAGTCTCATAGTATTATACAGTAATATTTCCTGAGCAATAAACTGTGCTTGAAACAGCATCAGTAAATTTACTGTGTAACATTGCAAGACTTTACCAAATTAAATTTTACCCACAATGGAATTATACTCTACCACCACAGTGCACAAGTTCTATTCTTATATCAACAGAGTAATTTAACCACATTCTATGCATGTAATCATTTAGGTCTTCTAACTCTAACAATAACTCTAATCTTTGAATTGAATTTTTGATTTTCCCGTCGATTGATTGGACCGAAGTGCTCGGTCTCAGGTTGACATGTCGGCCTCTTGTGCAGATGCTTCGACGATGTTTGGGTATTTAATTAGTATACAATTGGTGGATGGTGGCTAGCAGTGGAATCCAGGATGCGCATTTCGTCCTATTTGGGACTCGTCATCTGGATGTACCTGCATTTCTCAGTGAGTGATGATTTTCCCACCGAGGCTCGAACCCAGTGCCCATATGACCCGTTGCACAAGAGGTGGCTCTCGTGGCCCAAGTGGTCTAGTGGATAACGCTTTGGCGTTTGAAACTATGGGTACTGGGTTCGAGCCTCGGTGGGAACATCATCACTCACTGAGAAATGCAGGTACATCCAGCTGACGAGTCCCAAATAGGACGAAATGCGCATCCTGGATTCCACTGCTAGCCACCATCCACCAATTGTAAACTCTAATCTTTCCTGAACCTAAACCCAACGTGAAACTATGCCTAAATTAACCTTAATCTAACTCGAACCAAACCTGACGTCGCCTTTGTTAGGTTAACCTAACTCTAACCCATCCTTGGCTTAAAGCGTAACCTTAGCTAAAACTTGCCAGATTTGCACTTCGATAAGCATATTTTATTTATGATGACAACATTATTTGCCAGGTTTCACCCACCTTGCTTAGTGAGCGTCTCTAGGTCATTGGTACGGTCGCACTCCATTGGTAGTTACTGGTGCTTAAAGTTTAACTTGGCCTCGGATATAACGTCTGTATTCACAAATATACCTTTGGTAGAAACAGCTAACTACATATGTGAACAAGTGTATAACAAATCGATAGGTATTGGCATCCTGAAGGAAATCCTAGTAGGATTGTTATTAAGGTGTACAATGAATGTAAATCTCAAATTTGATGGTACAATTTTCAAACAGGTAGAAGAGATAGCGATGGGCTTTCCATCGAGTCGCATTTCGGCAGATTTCTTTCTAAGTCAACCAGAAAATGGCCCTCTGAACAACCTTATCAGAAAATTCTCATTTTATTCCTGGTATATGGATGCCATCTTTATTCTGTGTGATAATGATTTGAATAGCAAAACAATAATAACTCAGTTCAATGAAGTACATTCGGCTATGAAATTCACATGCGAAGAGAAATCCCAAAATGGAATTATTGCCTTCCTAGATATCCTGCTTACAAGATGGTAGAATAAGAAAAATTTGCATAGGAAAAGTACATGGAAAGGGCAATATACACATAGCTTCACAGCTTCGTTCCTCTCCAGTACAAAAGAAATTTAGTATAAACCCTCAGACAAAGAGTTACAGCTATATGCTCAGGAGAGGTAAGTGAAGATAAATTAAGCATTGAATTCAGGATTTCATCATGAGCTGACATTAGTTAGAGAACCATTGGAAAACCTGGGAGTACTGGACAGCTGTTTCGTCCTAGTTTGGGACTCTTCATCAGTACGCAACCACCACAGGGAGTTCGAACCCAGGACCTTCCGGTTACCAGGCGAGCTCGTATACCATTAAGCCACTGGGACCCGATCCAATGGTCCTTGAATTCTAACTTCTGCCAATTCACGACATAGCGCGACCGCTAGCCAATGTCTTCGGCGAGTATTTGTCCTCACACCCAACCAGCTGCACCCTACTGGTCACGACTTCCCACTGGAACCCAGGTAACTACCTACCTGAATAGGGCCAGTCGCCAGTGAGCATCTCATCGGTATTCAAGTGTTGGTATTCAACCAATCAAATCCCTACAAACCAACACTTGAATACCGATGAGATGCTCACTGGCGACTGGCCCTATTCAGGTAGGTATTTACCTGGGTTCCAGTGGGAAGTCGTGACCAGTAGGGTGCAGCTGGTTGGGTGTGAGGACAAATACTCATCAAAGACATTGGCTAGCGGTTGCGCTATATTGTGAATTGGCAGAAGTTAGAATTCAAGGACCATTGGATCGGGTCCCAGTGGCTTAATGGTATACGAGCTCGCCTGGTAACCGGAAGGTCCTGGGTTCGAACTCCCTGTGGTGGTTGCGTACTGATGAAGAGTCCCAAACTAGGACGAAACAGCTGTCCAGTACTCCCAGGTTTTCCAATGGTTCTCTAACTAATGTCAGCTCATGATGAAATCCTGAAACCAATCAAATCCCTACAAACCAACACTTGAATAAGGATTGAATATCATACCTTGATCAAAAATAGCCATCCAGACGAATTCATCACGAAACATGTGACTAACAAAGCGAAAAAGGACTACTCACTATCCGTAAACAAGAATCCCTCATACATAGGACTGCAATTCAATGGCAATAAAGCTAGCGAAATAATTACGAAGAAGTTAAGAAAATCAATTGAAAGAACTTTTAATGCTTAGAAACTACAAGTCTTATTTTCTACACAATCAATGATGATTCGTCAATTGAAAGATGAAGTACCTAAAGTAGTCACTTCTGATTGTATTTACCACTTCAACTGCGCTTGTGTAGCACGTTATATATTGGCCGTTGCTCCAGGAACTTCATTTTTTGTGCTCACGAGCACTTACCGGTGTGGCTAAATAAAGGTATAGTGAAAAACATCAACAGCTCAATGTTGGATCACCTGGTCCAAACAGGCTACAAAATCAACATTAAATAATCCCTCTCTATCATCTACCGAGTTACGAATAAATTGCCAAAACCATCCAGGTACCGCATACTCCGAACATCAGAGGCTATCTCAATTCTCACGAAACAACCAGTGCTCTGTGCGCAGAAGAAGCAGGTCAAACCATTACTACTGCCGTGGCCGGCCTTCAGTAGAGATGATAAATTCATGAATTTGTATTATTATCTTTCCTAATTTGGCTATCTGATATTCAATGTGTATTGTTATGTTGATGCTATCTGATATATATCCATATAAATGTGTGTTTGTTTGACAGTCTGTATATTTGCTATGTATATATGGATCGATATTCCATTATAATTAGCCAATCATGTTAAGACTGTCTATTGATTTGTTCATTTTGAATATTCGCTCACACACTTGTTCGGACATTCTTATATTTTGCTCTCACACTCTTGTGTGATATTGATTCTCCTGGTGTTTTGGAAAATAGAAGTATCATCGCAAACCTAGTGGTCTTCTGATTTCTGTCTTTCTTGCGGCAGGACTATTAAATTCTCGACCAGTACATAACACTATCGAACTGTAATCCATTGAGATTATTATTGGTTCGATGTTATTTGAACAATATTAATGTTGTGTAAATCCGACGATTTGCGGTTATGACGAGGGACAACTTGTGCAGGGTTTTGTCACATTGTCGACCGCTTTGTCCATGTGGTTGGCAGTGCAGTTGGCGCGATTAATTGATATGATCGTTGAATCGCCTGTCGCCTTGAGAAGTATTGTTCGGATGGGGAATTCGGCAGAGGTGGTTGTGTACACGTAGAGGGTGAGTGATCTGCTAAAAGCCGTGTGCGTGTTGTTAAGCCGTGTGTGATTTTAATATCACTAATTCATTCACTATTACGTATTTATAACTGTAGAACTTGATGAAGAGCGGGCTATCGAAAAGAATATTCTTTGTTCAGCAATCATTCTTTGAATAATTATATAGAATTTTGCCTTCAGAATACTTCTTATTTAACGAAGTCATAAATGTATTTGGCCAACCTAAAGAATAGCGACTATGAGATGCGAACGCACCATTGACCCTGAATACATACTTATTCGTTGGATTACAGAACCTGTCGTTGCCATTATGTCAGTGTGAATGCCGTACATGATGTGAAGTACGATTTTAATCTTATCGCAGTTTTAAGTATTGTTTAGACAATGGGTTGATAGCATGTTAGAGTTAGGATTAGTACTAGGGTTAGGGCTAGAGATAAGGTAAGGATTAGGGTTGCTGTGGATCATTAATATTATTATTATCGGTACTTTTCTTGTAAATAGACAATACACGTCAGATTCTGTAATTCAAAAGGATGGTATGCTCATTCAAAGCTAGTGTACCGTTCGCACTCCATAATCTCTACTCTCTATGTTTGCTAAGTAGTGAGAACAAGAATAGCTAGGGCGAACACTTGCTTTCAATAAACTCCTCTTCAGGCAAATTATCTACGCTGGCTATTATATACTAAAGATTGATTGGTTGGAGGATTTCATCATGAGCTGACACCAGTTAGAGAAACATTGGAAAACCACCGCCTGGGAGTACTGGACAGCCAGCTGTCTCCCTCGACCTAGTTTAGGAATATTCAGCAGTAAGCATCAACCGTCATGGTTCGAACCCAAGGACCTTCTGGTTACAAGGTGAGCGAGCTAACTCATAGACCACTAAGCCACTACGACCCGCCAGATCCAATGGCCAGCCAACCCATGAATTCCAACTCCTATCGATTCACGACATAACACGACCACTAGGCAGTGTCATCGCTAATGAGTATTTGTCCTCTCACCCGACCTACTGTACCCTACTGGTCACGAATTTTCACTAGAATCCTAGGTAACTACTACCTACCTGAATAGGGCGAGTCGCTAGTGAGCATCTCAACTGATATTCAAATATTGTTTTGTAGGGGATATTAGCAATAAATATTCATTATCAGTATCAAACTCAACTTACTTCGCCTTTGAAAATGTATAATTCTAAATTACGAATTTTTATGATTGCATCAACGCTGATATTACAAAAATCAAATATTTTTCCTTTCGCTGGAGCTTCCGTAGTTACAGGAGCTAAAGGGTTGGTGGGAGGGGGGAATTTTAAGAAAAAATTAACACTACTCATTATATAATTATTAAAAACAAAGGAAGACATATTTAAGAGCATTACGTGCTAATTACAATAGACTATTACAATAGTTTTATAGGATTGTAATATTTATTGATAACTAGAAATTCTGTTGAATATTCGAAAATTAAGACCCAGATGTCTGTGGTTGTCTTATATCATAATGTTGTTTCTTGGTTAGAGAAGAAGAGGCCAAATATGTTCGTGGTGCTTTCCTAGACTACAAATCTACAAATCTGCTTTTGACTCTGTACCCAGGGACTTTTTATTAAATAAACTTTCGTTGACGCAAACAGGATTCTAGGCTAAGAGTTGGTTGCATTCTTATTTTTCTGATAGAATGCAGTATACTGTATATAGTGGCAAATCTTCTTCTACCTCGCTTACAAAAGCCGGTGTTCCTCAAGGTGCCGTCCTTTCTCCTTTTCTTTTTTCTTTCTTCCTACACGACCCGCCTCATTTAAATGAAACTAACTTTGTCAAATATGCAGATGATCTGACTGTATCACTGCCTATCACTTCTGAGTCTGACTGCTACAAACTTGGACATGAGCAAGCGGTCTAAGTCAAATGGTCTTATGTTAAATCCTTCCAAATGTCAGGCAGTTAACTTTACTTTCAAGCATCGACGTGACATACATGAACTAGTTAGTTCCCATGATACATGTAGCATAGATGGCACGGAAATCGAAACCAAGTCAAGCATTAAATACCTTGGATTAGTTCTTTCCTCTGACCTTTCATGGTCATCCCACATCTTATCAGTCTCTAAGAAAATGTTTCGTCTTACCTTCTACATTAAAAAGTTAGGACAATCAGGTATCAACCAACCTCTAGTTTTGCAATTTTTAAACTCCTGTATTTTACCCATTGTACTCTATTGCTCACCATTAATCTTTCCTGGGCTTCTCAAAAAAGGCTATATCATATTACTATGGGTATCAAATGCTGTGAGTGGGGCTTGTGGTATGCTACTGCGTGAGCTCGCCCATATTATAGTTGAGAGACACATAAATTCCTGTACAAAATGGGCAAAGGTCGTATTGTCAGACCCCGTGCACCCCCTTTATTCACAACTATCCCCTTGCATCTCATCAGATGGGACGAGAAGTCAATATAAGAAGTTATATGCTCGAACCACTAAGTACAGAAATTCTACAATACCCTGTTTAGCCCGTATTTTATGTGATGAAGACACTAATTGACTTGAAACGTATAAATTACTATGTAATTAGCAAAGTGAATCGACTCTTTGATCGTTCACGTTTCTGTAATTTTATATCGTCACCCTTTCTATCGTTTAATTATAACTTAGCGATTTTATTTAAGTTGTTATTACTGTTATTACTACAACTTTATACTTTATGCATATTTTTCTCCTTATCGCATACTGTAATTGCTACATAGCTGCTATAATAACGTTTTGTTGTTATTATTATGTAAAGTTTATTTTTTTTGTCGTTTTGAGTAAATTAGATGCTATATTGTAGTGAATGCTGCAAAATGCCTTGCTGTATCATTAGTAATGGTTTTTGGAGTAAAGCAAAGAATAATTATTATGAGTAGTAGTAAAAAGAGCTTATTTTCGGTCTTTTAGGGAAGCCGTGGTGATTTATTCCTCTAGCAATCAGTACTAACTTACAATGCACTGTAGTCCGTAAAACTGTCACATCTCTAAGCATGCTGACTTCAGTGATTGCAATCCAGCGCGGCCAATGCATCTACTTATCATTGTTCTATTTATTTCATAAGATGTCTAAGTGTAGTGGAACAGAAACCTGTACATACGAATTCCTAATTAAAAATGATATGTCAATATAGACAAAGCAATAAAAAGACGTAATTTGTCTGAATCGTGTGTGTAATGTATTTGCGCAACACATTTCGAATAATCTGATCACACACGACTTGTCATTGGAATAAATATTTATGACATTAATAAAGAGTTCAGAGTGAGCAAACAGACTTAGGTCAAGTTAAAAGGACACATTGAAGGTCAAAATAACGATGAAGATCACTAAGCAAATAACAGAGGTAATAGTACACCTACCCTGGTATGTATCAAAACATAGTTTCCCAAGAAAGGTTTAATGTGATGACGAATTGTTTTCAAACGCATAAAGGTGGTTTAAACTTCCTAATTGTTAGGTAAAAAGACTTTTTATGCACCTAATATCATAGTAATTAGGAATATGAAGCCAGTATATCCATCTAAGCTCTTTGAACATACGTTAAATGATGTCACATCCCACTATATCTTTCAGCTTAAATGTACTTGTGGCCACACATACACAGGAATGACTCGTCGATCTCTGCAAGTGAAGGTTGGCTTCAGAGCATATATTTAAATGGCTTCAGAAGTAAACAGAATCCTCAGAACCCTTTAATGGTGAGAACAGGGAACCCAACTCCTCTATTGCGAAACATGTTATACAGACAGTACATAAAAATTGATTTTCACACATTTTCTAAACCTGTCTATAAAAAGTGTTTGGAGCGTATCCTGAAGTTTGTGGAAGCTCTAGCTATTAGAAAGTTTTAACCACCTTTATGCGTTCAAAAACAATTCGCCATAGTAGTGTATTATTACCTCTCTTATTTGGTTTAGTGATCTTTATTCTTATTTCGACCTTCAATGTGTCCTTTTAACTTGACCTAAGTCTGTTTGCTCACCTCTGAACTCTTTATTAATGTCATAAATATTTATTCCAATGACAAGTCCGTGTGTGATCAAATTATTCGAAATGTGTTGCGCAAATACAATTAGACACGATCCAGTCAATTACGTCTTTTATTGTTTTGTCCAAAATTCACAAAAGGAACTAATTTAATCTTGCATATATATCCCACTACTTTATACGGCATTTCAGTAGTTTGACACTTAACGAAAAAAAGTGACTTACGAGGTGGTGGTATATCTGGTAAACTCGGTTCTGGTGGTATAAATTTACCGCGTTTAGCAGCACCTAATAAAATAAAAGTGGGAGATGATTGAAAACAAATTTATCATTATTATTATTAAAGCAATTAGTCCCTTTGATAAAATTGGAAAAAGGCATTTAGAAGACAAATTTCGCGAGATGATATCCTCATTTCGTAGTTTCTTTACACCCGCTTTATAACTAACATGGTTCAATTCAATTCAATTTTAGATTTTTCCGTCGATTGATTGGACCGAACTGCTCAGTCTCAGGTTGACATGTAGGTTCATTGTGTGGAGAATTCGACGATGTCTAGTCATGTAATTTGGAGTCAACTGATGGATGATGGAATCCAGGATGCGCCACACTTCGTCCTATTTGGGACTCGTCAGCTAGTGGATATATCTGCATTCCACAATGAGTAGCGGTATCCCCACCGAGGCTCTAACCCAGTGCCCATAGTTTCAAAGCCGACATGTCAACCTGAGACCGAGCACTTTTGTCCAGTCAATCGACGGGAAAATCTAGAATTGAATTCAACAGTTAATATGACCCGTTGGACAGAAGGTGGTTCTTGTGATCTAAGTTGTCTAGTGGATAGCGCCAGGGCTTTTGAAACTATAGGCACTGTGTTGGAGGTTCGGTGAGAACACTTTCACTCACTGCGGAATGCAAGTACATACAGTGACGAGTCCCAAATAGGACGAAATGTGGCACATCCTGGATTCCACAGCTAGTCACCATCCACCAATTAACATAGTTAACAGTTATAAAATAAAATGCATTACAGTTACTCATTTATGTAAAACAAGAGTCCATAATAATGACCAATCATGTTTAAATAAGTCAAGTGGTCCATGGTAGGCTAAGGTTGAAGTTTATTGTCTTTTGTACATATACTTTAGGCTGTATGTGAATAATGCAAAGTGCTTCCATCGCCTTCACTAACCAACCTTGAATTAGAGTAGTGTGAATTAATTGTGAAACAGTCATTAATATTCACTTTGTGACCTGACATTAATAAGTGGTTTGCAATGGATGATTCTGGATTTCTATTCAGATTACTCGCATTGGGTTTTTCTACATGTTTTAGTAGCCATTTTGGAACATGTTGTTTTCGACGACATTAGAAGATTCTGTTGGTTCTACCTATTATATAGGTGTCACCGAAGCTGCAGGTGAACTTGTAGATACAGTTTGAAGTAGATTAGGTACAGGGATGAAAAATGTTCGTCAAATGAGAAAAAAAGAGATGCGGCGTAGAATGTGGATTTGATGCCTGACCGAAGTAATTAAGCTGTTTTTGAACTGCATAATCTGGTTACCCTTGAATGGTAGGTTGTTGATAAAGATAGCTTTGTTTGGTACATAAGCTGTCTTTTCAAGATGTGGTCTATCCTTACTGTGACAATTGATAAAGTAAGTTTTCTGGATAACCATTAACTAACAAAACTGAATGTATGTGTGTCGAAGCTCATCCATTATAGAGTGTGTCGTTCGTGCATCATTTGTGGGCCCTTGAAAACAAACATTTATTTCTCAAGTATTGGTTTTGTAGGGATTTCGTTTGATTGCATAGAGAATTTCACCATGAGCTGAAATCGGCTAGAGAACCACTGGAAAACCTGGAGGTACTTGACAGCTGTTTTGTCCTAGTTTGGGACTCTTCATCAGTTCACACCCACCACAGGGAGTTCGAACCCAGGAACCCCCCCCGTTACAAGGCGAGCTCGTAGACCATTGAGCCACTGGGACCCGATCCAACGGTCTTTGAATTATAACTTCTGCCAATTCACAACCATTGGATTGGGTCCCAGAGACTCAATGGTCTACGAGCTCGCCTTGTAACCATAAGGTCCTAGGTTCGAACCCCGGTTGGTGAGTACCGCAGAAGAGTCCCAAACTAGGACAAAACAGCTGTCCAGTACTTCCAGGTTTTCCAGTGGTTCTCTAACTGGAAATTGAAATTCTCCATGCAATCAAACATATATTTCACTAAGGAACGTTTATTACTGAATAGGAACAAAACTGGTGGCGAGATGATATTGTCCACTCCATGTCTGCTTACCCAAAAATAGATCGCTTAATCATCATTCCATCGTCTCTCCCTGTAGTTATTATTATTATTATAGTTATACCCAGACAAAAATAAATTAGAATTTGTTTTTATTAAGAAGAGTTTTTAACCGGTTAATAAAAGTACAGAGTGTATGTCTAGACAAAATTAACAAACTGTTAAATATTTCTAAATAAGTTGACATTTTATCTGATACGTCTAAGGATCATTAGCCGACAAAACTACACCTTAGACTGCAGTTTTTTTCGTAAACATGTATTCAAATAACGGTATATTGCAAATAAATTTAAAAAAAACCCAGTTCGAATGTGTTATACGAATACAAAAATTAGGATGCATGTATGCAAATGTATATACATTGCCAAAATTAAATACACAACATATTTACAGCTTAGTCAGTGATTATTTTCACAGAAAAACGTACGACAGACAAGTTATAATATTGTATTAGAACTACATTACGTTTTGATGATTCATTGGATGTTTTGAATAATGTGAAGGTAAGGACATAGAGATGAACATAGACGAAAACTTGCGATAAATAAGCCATTTTAATTAGTTCTTGAAACCCAATGTCTACTTTCACAATTTGTCAACTCTCGTATCTTACCTATTCTACTTTACTGCTTGCTCCCCATTAGTCTTTCCTGGGCTACTGAAAAAGGACTATACCATCCTGAGAAGGATGTTGAAGAAGCTAGTTAGTAGGAGTAGTGGTGTAAAACTCAATCAGCTCGTCACTACATTAGTAGAAAGGCATCTGAATACATGCGAAAAATGGTCTAGAAGCATACTCTCCAACCCCCAGCACCCCTCTATTGCCAAGTCTTTCTCTCCTTGTATCTCATCAGGTAGAACTAGAAATCAGTATAAAATAATATATGCTCATACAACCAAGTACAGGAACTCAACGATACCATATTTGGCCAGCCCGTGTTCTAAGTGACAGAGACAATGTTAAGCGCGAAACCTATGACTTGCTTTGTTGTTAAATAACATAATTTTAGGCTTTCTTATTTGCATTCTATAGTGAACAGCTTCTTAAACATACTTAGCTACCTAAATTATTAACATTGGCTTACTTCTTTTTTTGTACTTTACTCTATTCCTTCTCTTGTGTATATCTACTGGTTCCAACTATATTATCACTATGAGTATTACAAAATTGTCCTGTCATTAACCACCATGTAATATTAGTTTTGTGTTGTTTTTTTTGTTCGGCAATATTAAAACTAACAATATCGGTTGTGAATGCCATTATTACCATCATAAAAATTTTGTATTATGCAGGATTACTCACACTACCACAACAACCACCGCATTAGAGCTGACAATAAAAAGAAAACACAACCTGAAATGTTTATTTTATGATTGTTTAGTGTTTGTTGTTCAATCAAACTAACTGATCATGCGATAACCATTCTTAATATCATTTCATAGCTTCTAGTGTGACTATATAGCTTTACTGTTCACCACGCATCAACATATCATAGCTTCCACTACCCAATACTGAGATATTATTTATTATGTTGTTTATTTTCCATTTTACTTCTAGGTATTTTTTCGCACTTTTTTTGCTATTTTGTGTTTTTTTGTTGTTGATTTTTATATTTACTTTTTAAAATACTCCTTTTAAGTGTTTGATAAAATTAGATGCAATATTGTAGATAAGTGCTGAAAATTCTACACTGTACCACTAGTACTGTTTCTGGAATAAAGCAAAATATTATTATTATTGGTCTGGCTCTTTCGAGTTTAGGACTCTGGCGTATATTTTGAGTGGCTTTTAAGGGGATTTAATACCATGCCTAAATATTTAGATAATTCATAAGTAGGTGAATTTCTAAAATCAACTATAGGTCTGTCTAATAGGGTATCCTGACTTATGAACTTTAACAACACCATACATCCTACTAGGGTTATTAATTTTTAGCATTCACTTAAACCACTTAGAATCACCTAGAAACGGCTTCATTCGGCGTATAAGGTCCGCTGTGGATTTCTCAACTTTATTTATAACTGTGTCTATTGGTTTATTAATTTCCTCATATGGTCCTGTTTGTATGTGAGTATTTACCTTGTCCAAATAGTCTGATTTGTCCAATACTACTGTTGCATTTCCTTTGTCTGACTTTGTGATTACTATATCCTTGTTATTCTTAAGGTGTTTCAGGGCTTCTGTCTCTTGTTTTGTCAGGTTAGGCTTTCCACATTTTTGTCGTTTTAATGTAAGTGCACATTGTGCACTTACTTCTTCAGCTGTTGTTTTGTCTATCCCACTTAGTGCTATTTCTATTTTAGGGATGACATCCTCAGGTTTCCGCTTGTCCACCGCTACATTGAAGTTTAGTTCCTTTTCTAATACACTTATTTCCATAGGACTTAATATATGTGATGAGAGATTGATAACCCGCTTTGATTTATCGATCGCCGTTGATTTTGGATTGTTGACTTCCTTATTCTGAGATGGAGATTTCTCCTCTAATAATTTGTTGAACTTTTTGATTGGATTATTTTCTGACTTTTTGAAAGTTTCTTATTTTGCATTGCATTAGTAGCTATTCCCATTAGCTTTAGCTTTAATTGCTCAATTTCACATCTGATATGTTGCAACTTTTTAACGATTCAGTGGATCTCTTCTTTCAGGCATAATTTTTGTAGGCTTTCTATTCTGCTTCTAACTCTGTCCGTTGGAACTCGAGGTCGTAGACGTAGGTATTCCTAAATACCTATGGCGTCTGGCGCATATTCATCATCAAGTATTGGTTTTCAGGAATTTGATTGATTATAGCTATGGTCGAGAGCTGACATCACATAGAAAGCCGTTGTAATAGACCAGAGAGTACTGGACTTCTGTTTCGTCCTAGCGTAGAACTCTTCATCTGTTTACATCCATTGGGGTTTTGACCGACAACCTTCTGGTTACAAGATGAGCTTGTAGGCTATTCATTTACTGAAACCCGATGTT